GAGGAACAGGCTGTAAGAGAAAAGGCAAGTTCCTTTAGTGCCACAGAGCAGTGAGTTGATGTCTTCAAGCCTGGCATCTTGGCTGGAGTCTTTTACTTGTCTATTAAAGTCTTGTATTTTCCACTCATCGTATGAATTCATGTTACCATTATTTGGGAATGCCTAAAGCAGTGGGATATTGGTGGTTTGGTGGTATAATTCTCACCTTCCGTGCAGGAGACCTGGGTGTGACTGCTGGCAATGCACCTCATGCACAGCCATCACCTGTCTGGCAGTGGAGGACTGCATGTGTTGCTCTGATGCTGAACAGGTTTATAATACCATTGCTCAAGACTTGATTTGCCAGGGATCCAAAGTCAATGCTCTTAACCATGAGTGTCCCTGTAGTGAGAGTTCCACAGTCAAACTGCTTGTGTACAAACTCCTGGTTCCACCCCTCATAGCTGTGTGATGTTGGAAAATTACCCAATCTATCTGTGCTTCAGTTACCACACATGTGAAAAAGGAATAATAATTCCTACTTCTGGTGCTGGGTAGGCCTTTCTGAAATACAATTTGCCATTTCTCTCTTATTTTCAATAAAGTGGTTTGCTTCTGAGAACCCAGCATGCTCAGTTTTAATGAGCCTGAGTAGGGAGAAAGGGATTTACACAGAAGGGAGATATTTGTGTGGAAAGCAGCCATAAAATGCTATATTTGGCTCCATAGCTTTTACCTGTGATCTCCTCAAAAATGGCATGGAAGCCATCAAAGTTCTTAGAGCCATCAGAATGGAAGAGGACATGGAGTGAGGGGCCAGTGCTCCGAATGGGAGCTGGCCGCTCATTGCCACAGAAACGCTTGATGATCTGGCCATCACTGTTGTCTCCATCACGGATCTCAACATAATCATATTGGCACATATAATCAAACTCCAAGCTCAACATGACAAACCTGCGATGGTACAGAAGGAAATAGGTGAGCCCTGATTAGTCCTAAGACCCATGGATACAGTCAGATGATGAGCAGATCTTGGGAGGATGAAGCAATTGGCTTGATCTGATAGGAAAATGGTCCTGAAGGACTTGAGGTCAGGTGAATTTCTTTTACTAGAGAGGTATGTGTGTGTACACTGGATGCAC